ATCAAACGGCAATCTCAATACTAACCCGTTATTAGAGCTAATTGTGAATTATAAATAGCTCTAATTTTCACCGATGGAATTATTACACCGAGTGCACTTAAGGCTATTTGCATACTGACTACTATTTAGTATAGTTGATACCTTAAGAGCTGGTGTTACTAGCGTAAACGCATATGGGGCGGGTTACAAAGCCACATATTAACATTTTAATAGATGAGAAAAGATTGTTACATCCTGCCAATTTTGTTCAATCATTATCCAAGTTCTAAAAATATTTTCAACTTTAATTAAGTCATATTGCTTAGTATTCTTACACGTTATTCACAATACCTTGTTCTTTTATGTCAATGACATTCCACGGTTATTTTTTTTTTATTTATTTGGTGCTCACATTTATTGACATTATTTATCTCTTTTAATCAGCATGTATTCGTTAATTAGATTCGCGGTCGAGATACTCAATAATTACAGCTCGAGTTGGATGTAAATAAAATTGTCAGGGTCAGGTATGGCACAGTTTCGCCATCGCGACAGTTATCTGTATCGCAAAAATTCAGATATGGTTATTTTTAAAACGGGCCCCGAGTTTCGATACCGATTGCACTTATTGCATTGCTCGATCTGTGACCTTTGATAGTATCGTTTTTCTCAACGATACTCAAAGTCCCACGTATATACAAACATAAGAAAAATAAATTTTGACCAACTTGTTTGTGTTCTAACATATTGGATTAAAGTAGATTAACAAAAATTAAAATTTATTATATAATACATTCAAAGGGTTATCGTCGATTTATTTTTTTTTTCTATTTTGAGTAATAAACAGTTTTAGATTATTTTTCTAAGATTGAAAAATTATGTTATTTTTATAAAATTTCTCTACAGATACAGAAATGAACCTCATATCAAATGAAACCTTGAAGTTTATTCTTTAAAACTCACTACGCTAAATATATCTTGAAGATATTATGTAGTAAGTAAATATTATTCTATTTGTATTCTGTTTGACGATCTCGATTGCAGCACCTCGGTAGAGAACGACCTTCGCTACTAAACATCGCGCTAATAAAAGAGAAAACTACATTGTTTGGTATGTAATAGTAGTCGAGATGAATTGTATTTGGGACAGTTATTACATCTATAAGGTATTAAATATTACATACAGAAAGATAAAACTATACTACCAGGCATATAACGATAGTCGAGGTCGCTTGCGGCCGAGGCGCTATATTTGAAATCGAAAAGTTGTAGCAAATTGCAAATATTGCCGTCTTGCACTTTTACTCTCAAACGCATAAATAATAAATATTAAGAAAAATATGAAAAGTTAATGAATTTCGTTGTTCTACTAGATGTTAATCTACTCGAGATTTGGAGCAACTTTTAGAAGAAAAGTTGTATCAAATTTTATTCCCAACAATATTGCTCTCAAGCACTTTTAATCTCAGACGCATAGATATTGAGAAAAGTACGGAAATATGAATATTTGATGAATTTCGTTGCTTTGCTAGGGTTATTGCATGTTTTAGAATTTATTGATGTTTTTTTGAATCACTGTCTATTATTACTCTGTGTGTTACTCATGTTTTACTTTTTCTCTTTTGTCTCTTTGAGTAATTTCATTAACTTCTTGTACCCATTGTTACGCATTACCAGCGTTGCCAACCTATGTCTGGAGCATATTACAAAAAAAGTTTTAGAATAAAAGTTGTAGCAAATTTAATTCTTAGCACTATTGGTCTCTTGCAGTTTTGTTCTTAGATGCATCAATATTGAGAAAAATACAAAAATATGAAAATTTAATGAATTTCGGTATTTTATTATTTAATGGTAGGTAACACTTATGATTCGGAGCATATTACAAAAGAACTTTTGGAACAAAAGTTGCAGCAAATTTTATTCTTAACAATATTGCCCTCTTCCACTTTTGCTCTCATAAGCGTCAATATGGAGCAAAATACAAAAATATGAAAATTTGATGAATTCGTTGTTACACAAGTTGTTAATGGAAACACACGGGAATCGGAGCATGTTACAAAAAAACTTTTAGAACAAAAGTTGCAGCAAATTTTATTCTTAACAATATTGCTCTCTTTCACTTTTGCTCTTAGACGCGTCAATATTGACCAAAATACAAAAATATGAAAATTTGATGAATTTGTTGCTCTGTCAAGTTATTACCTAATGGTAACACTCACGAATCGGAGTATGTTACAACGAAACTTTTAGAACAAAAGTTGTGGCAAATTTTATTGTTAACAATATCACTCTCTTGTACTTTTGCGTTCAGGCGCATAGAAATCGAGAAAAATACCAAAATAGGAAAATTTGATGAAGCTCCTGTATTGCGCGCGGCTCATTTTGACATTAATTTAATCTTAAGACAAATTCAGACGATTTCATAGACTACATCTTAAAGGAGCGTTAATAAAGATAACCCAACCCAACCAATTCTTTATCAACTTTTGCTACTGGTAAACAACTTTTTCTTTTTAACGGTCTCGGTTGTAATGCCTCGGCCACAATCGACCTTGGCTATTATATAACGAAATCAACAATGATTAAACTGCATAATGCCTCGGTATGTAACAGTAACCAAGGCTGTTGTATTTGGGAGCCACTACAATCATTACATCGATAGATATTAAGTATTAGGTATAGATCGGTTTCAAAAGCAGTTACTAAAAATATGTTATGTGTAGTTGAACTACGTTTTGTAATAGTGCCTCAATCGTAATCTATAAAAAAAAACTGTACATCTTCAAAGGTACCCAGATTTACCGCTTTTTATGTTTGACGCTCTCAGTTGTAATGCCTCAGCCGCAAGTCACCTCGGCTACTATGTGTTATATTTAACAAAGATAAAACTATATCACTCGGTAAACAACAGTAACCTGGGCTACTTGCGGATGATGGGCTAGATTTAAAACGAACTATATCCATTATATCAATATTTGGTGTGTAACTTAAGAGTGTTTTATGTTTGAAGGTTTCGATTGAATGTTTACAGTACCATATGCTGTAAACATTACTTGAAAGATATAATTAAAAATAAAAAATGATAATTTAAAATAAAACGCCGAAAGATAATCTTTTAAGATACAGATATGATATACTCATGCTAAATTAAAGTTTGAAATCTATTTTTAAAATTCTGATTTAAAATCGCTTTAAGAAAAATTTAAACTTTGAACGTCGTTTAATGTTAAAAAAAATTAATTACTACTCTTTAAGATGATGTTACTATGAGGAACTCAATTAAAAGGAACTAATTATTATTATTTTTTGAAGTTATCTTTTTAAGATAATGTATTTTAATTAAAAATTACGTTTTAAAATCCTTCAAAAAATTTAGAACTTAAAACTGATACCGTAAATGTAAATCATTGCAAGTGAACTTGATAAACTTATTTTATTGGTCAATGTCATTAATCTATTCCAATATCAATTTCATCAGATTACATAATATAAATAAAATATAAAATTAAACTTAAAGAAATACATAAGAATTTACATAACTCGGCATGAAACGTAATATCTACCATCCGAAAAATTGAATTTAAGTATCAATATAAGTTGGATATATTGTTGTCCCGAAGGAATGAATCGTTTTAGCGTCTATATCTCGAGTGCGTTTGACATTGAAAAAGCCGCAAATACGATTTTGACGTCCAGATAGAGTTTCCACACTACGTTTGAGTATTCCAAGAAACTGTGAAACCAGAAAAAAAAAATTCAAAGAAAAAACCTGCACTTGGTTTAAACGGAAAAGAATAAGAACAACCGCATATAATAACCGATACACATCTTATTTTCACGAACCTGCCAACCTTCCATAAATAACAGAGAAACAGATAATCGCTTCATTTCCTAAACAGAAACAGGTCATAAATACGGTCCATGAGGACAAAACGTTGTTTCTACGTACACCGAAGCCACCCCTGGTTTAAACCGCAGGGGTGGCCTCGTTATCGAAGGTCGCACAAACAACACACCCATTGTATACTTAAAACGCGTATAGTTGAAAAGTGGAAAAGGCTTGAAGGAAATCATATTCTCCCAGTTTTCGATAACATGCATTCCGGTTATTGGAGCTGTGTTGTTTCATTTTTCGATGCCTGGTAATCTTATCGTGAGATAACGGGAGTTGTAATGCGAAAGGATGCATTAAGTAAGCTGTTTTGGGTGTCACCTTGTCGGGAATATTCGACGTACAATAAATTTTTATCATTGAGCAGGTCGAATATAACAAATAATATTCGATTTAAATAGATCTTCACATCTAATTATGTAACTTCAAGTTTACGTTTTAGGAATTGGTAATAAAGATGATTTTAGTACCCATTCGTTCAGAATACGACACAATAAAATCTTCGATAGAATGACTTGTCAGTTCTCAAGAATGTCTTCCTGCCGAGTTGTCGAGGTCAATGTTTTTGATGTTATTGGGTTCTTTTTACAAATTAAATTTAATTTCATTTTCTATACGAAGCTAGATTTAATTTTTAGTAATATTTATGTTTCAAATTGTTAACCAATTAAGTTATTAGATACAATTTGAGGTGATCATTATCATTATTGTGACTCATATAATATCACTCAAAACTCATTCAACAACCCGTTATTTTAAGTTTGATATGGTTTGAAAATATTTACTTTTGTAGTATACAAAGTGATTAATTTTAGAAGGAATATTTTAGATTGTCTGATTAAGTTTTATAAAACCATATCAAAGAATGACAATCACCTTATTTTATTAGATTTACTTGATCATAAAATTAATCTCAATGTTGTATCAACAAATGGATTGTGTCAAATTCATCCTATACAAATACAATTAATTAATACAATACCTAAATATGATTAATTGTTATAAAAAGATTCAATAAAATGGGTTACTCATTATATTTTACGATGCGGTCAACAGAAAACTGATACAAACTTAATATTATTAAGATTGAGTTCTTAATTAAGTTTAAGCGAAGGTCATAAAATCTTACCGAGATCTGGAATTGAGCTAGAAGGTTCTTCTTGAGCCCTATCAGGTCTATTTTCCTTAGAGATTTTGGGCGGTCCAGGTGGCGGTGGTGGTCTCATAACGGCAGTGGCTGGTGGTGAAGAAGTTGAAGAAACTATAGCACCGGTGGGTACCCGGGTTTTAAACACGATTCTCGTAGCCTGCATGGTCTTTTAGTACACTCGACAATGGTGTTGCACTAGGTTAGGGGCCGACGGGAATAAACGACATTCCACGTGGGGCCGGTGTTCATAACAGTAGGAGAAGATGCGCGTATGTCAACAAGAAGAAGGAGGTTTGCGCGGCGACAATCACGCGGCGAACGTGAACTAGGATGCGTCGCGGCGCGCGAGAGTTCTGGTCGCGAATGAAAGTGAAATTGAATGCTGCGTTCGTGTGAAAGGGGGTGCAAGCGCACGCGCGCCACCCTCGCGACGACGACGACAACGACGTCGACGTCCCGCTGTCTGTCTGGCGTGTCTGTCTGTATAATATGTATCCCGTTCCTATACGGTGCGGTGTGCGGCACATGCACTGCTCCCCCGTTTGGGGAGAACTGTCTACTCTCGCGGTTTGTATCGTTCGTGGCCTCTACTCAGCTAAACCTCGAACGTACGACGACGTGTCACGGTCGTTTCTGACGACGACGACGACGGCGGCGGCGGCGGACCCTACAATAACACACGAGCGCAACTCAATCGTCGTCGTCGTCGTCGCCGCAGCAGCAGCCGCCACCGCTGCTGTTGGTGCCTTGTGCTGGCCTTGTCCTTGAACACGGAGACTGAACTCGAAGCGATGCGATGCGGCGTTAAGCGGCTTGCGACGCTCTGTCTTGGCTTATCGATTTTGATTCACGCCCGGAGGCGTCGTTTTCAAACCCTGTCACTTTACGTAGTTGTACGCACCAAATTCCCGTTCGATGCGTTTGGACGTTTGCAAATGGTTATGACACTTTTAACGATGGGGGCGGGCGTCGTGACACTTTTTTTATGGCCCTTCGACGTTGATTTGGTATTTATACCCTTCTTGTAGTAGTTGTAAATTGCATACCACGACGATGATATGCTATTTTTATGGGTTGTTTCGTTGATGCTTCTTTAAAGAAGGGCAGTTTTTTTTTTGTAAGACAAAAAAAAGTTCAAAGCATTTAATGGAAATTTATTCAGATATTAAATGTCATAATCATAAAATTCATATAAAAGTTGTTAACTTTTACAAATATACTTTATTAGCAAACGAACAACAAGGGTTCAGATCAGGAAAATTCTGCACGGATGCCATCTTTGTCATAAGACAAATAACCGAAAAGTCCCGGACAACTTCATTAAAACAATTGAAAATATTTACTTGGATAACAAGATTCAAGCAAAAATATGGCGAACTAACTGAACAGATACTATATTATAAAACAAGTGCGCAAACTAAAAGGATACAACATGGGAAATAAGGTTGTTAATATCCTATGCTACGCAGATGATGTGTTGCTGATCGCAGAAAATGAGGATAAACTCCAGAGGTTACTGTTTCAGTTTAATAAAACAGTTTAACATGACTATATCAGCGGCAAAACCAAAATGCATGACCACCTGCAAGACACCGATCAGATACAAGCAGATACAATACGGGAATATTGAAACTGAAGTAAGGAATCAAGCTGCAAGAGCGGCAAGGACAGCGGCGTACCTAAATGACACAATATAGCGAAATAAACATATTAGAACTGAAGCCAAATCCCGGATATATAAGACCGTACTTAGACCCATATTAATATACAGTTAGACAAGTAATGAAAAGATAAAGTATTAGGTTTTGTCCGGACAAGCCTGGCCGAAATGGTAGGATTATCAGGGTTTCCCTCATCAGCTGTGAATTGTAACAATTTCACGCTGAAGAGAGTAACGAGAAAGATCTGCTGGCAAGTAGTGGAAAGCTTTGCACAGTTCGAGGAAGAACAAAAAAGAGCTGGGATTGAAGTTATTTAGGGGAAGACAAAATATATGTTTATACCAAGAAATAGAAACCTCAATACAGTGCAGGCACCAGTTAATATATTAATGATTAACCCAACCCAACATGGTGCTGATCAAAGCGAGACTAAAAGCTAAAAGTGAGACCAATGATGATGTATGGGAGTGAGATGTGGGTGATGAGCAATTCCTCAACACGTACTTTGGGGCATATACGGTCCCATCGGTGAGCGAGGCGAATGAAGGATACATACCAAGACCTCTACCAGCTATAAATGGAGACAGGTTGTCCGTGAGGCCAAGGATCTCTCAGGATTGTAGTGCCAGTGTGATGATGATCGACCAGAAACATCCAAAACAAAAAGTATGTTAGAAACTACAGAAATGAAAATAATACGTAGAATACTTAGGAAAACATTGAGAATGAAGTGAGAATATCAGACAGGGTTGCAAGATAGATAATATCAATGATTGCGTATTGGACAGAAAGAAGAAATGGAATGAGCACGTTGACCCAATGACAGAAGAACGAATTGTGAAAATAACTCGAGACAAATCACCATCAGGACGAAGAAGCATTGGAAGACCTAAAAAAAGGTGGAGCGACAACCATCGAAACGATTAGGGGGTAAAAAAGCGAACATAAACAGGCAGTTATGCCTAAATACATAAGGAAGAAGAAGAAGAAGAAAAAAGTTGTTAAATTATACAAACTTATATACAGGGTTTTCCAAAACTCCCGGGACGGAGCTATAAGTTTTGCACAAAAAAATTTGAAAATTTGGGAATCACTAAAGAGTCATAAAAACTACATCTTAGATAGTTTAGAACTTCCATGCAATGTACAGTTTTTTAAGGGATTATTACCCCCTACATTTTTAAATAGCAACCCCTGTCGAGTTTTACCTTATTTTAAAGGTAATGAAAAAAGAAACACAACCCCATAAACCAAAACCCGATATCTTAATACTTTCAAGAATTATGAGGTTTTCTTTCGACTGTTTTCGACCGATTTAGAAATCGGTGGTCATTGATAAAAAAGGAGTCGAAGTCGCTCACATCATATAAGAGAGTACCCTCAAAATTGGCTAAAGAATCACCCTCTTTGGGAACATCATTCAGATACTGTATATATATATAACTGTATAATTTAACAACTTTTTTCTTCTTCTTCCTCTTTCTTCTGTATTTAGGCATAACTGCCGGTTTATCTCCACTTTTTTTTTCAACCCAACCCCACCCAACCCAACCCAATCCAACGCAACAGGGGCAAAACCAACAAGAAGAACGGATGAAATCTCAGACAGACCACAGCAACACATACTTCTCCATCCGTGAAGTACTACGCATTAACATATGTATTATTACATGTATATTTATACAGTTTTTTCTTGTATGTAATAATTAAACCTTACAGCAAACTGACATATTATAGTAATTGAAATTAATAATACATTATTATTATTAATAATTTTACATATTATTATATAATTTCGTAAATAATTGAAATAGGACTAGGATTTGGTAATTGTATTAGCTATCATATGTCAAAGTTTGATGGTGAGCTAATAAATCACCGTGTATAACAAATTTGTTTGTATTAAAATTATTCATACTTTGCAGCTGATTTTAAATTCGGATTCTAAGCTGTGATCTTCTACGCCATCGTCCCAACATTCTTGAAATTAACTCGGTCCAGGTATTGGTTTTGCTAAACTATCAACAATAATCATAGACGAAAACATTCCATGAAAGCAAGCGCTTTCTCCAGGGTCATCTTAAGTAATATTAGATTAAATAAAATTCAAATAATTGAGATGAATTATATTATTTTGTGAAATCGGTGGTATCTAAACTACTTGAATTTTATTTAATCTAAAAACATTCCGGTCAATATTTAGCTATTCCAGAATATTTTCTGCATCCTGCTCTTCGCAGATTCAGAACATTTTTTAACGACTGGAATACATGAAAAGTTTTATCACTATCAATTTCATGTTTTTAGCTGATTCCACATCTCCCAGGAATACAATATGTTGTATATCGCATCTCGAAGTGTAATTGACATCCAAAATTATTAAGAGAACATTGTTGTCTCTTGTATGTAATTTTTAATTGTGCAAATTTAATTGATGAAGCGATACAAAATTTGTGCTGCGTTTTCAAATCAAAATTCTTCTGAACAAAGACAATGCAAAAGCACAATAATGACGGCTTTGTGTGACTGAAGTGAACTAGGTCAATTTTTGAAAAAAAAAGGATAAAGTGGTGCACTCAAATAAATGAAAATTGCAGTTCTGTTTACGGTAAAAATAACGATCTGGGATGTTAATTAAATTTAATTGACGATAATCCCCACATGGTTTGTACTCATTTGAATTATTTTTCGAAATCGAAATCACTGTTTTGTTTGTATTTTTCTATTAATTTTGGAATTGTCATTTAGAAGTGGACAAAGTGTAGCTTGATTGCTTTAAATGTTCTTTTGAGCTTAATTCTATTTGTTAGAATTTGGCGCAATTTTCTTTTATTTAAGCTCCGTGCTCATTCTGAAATATCTTACCCTCTAAAGATCCCTTAATCAGGGATCTGCAAAACATAGTCGTTCAAGCGTTTACTTAAAATACATTAAACGCAAACAAAGGGGCTTTGTGTCAAGGAATAATCTAATAGTAATTTACTTTCAAAGTAAGACAGCTTTTAGACACTTGTTGCATTCAAAGCATAGAAAACAGTTAAGTTCTGGTAAACATGTGAAATGTTATTATTAGATTAGGTGGGGACTTCACTGGTAAACAAGACGATGATTGGGGATTATAAAATATAGAATAATGGTCATGGTCATGAAGTATTTATTTTGTTATTTATGTGTGTAGTATGTATTACAGAACAAAATAAAGGAATAATTGCTAGAATTTAGATATCAATTAATGTGTTATATATAAATATAAGAAGAGATATAATTATGGGAAAAGAGTAGTATTGCGATTAAATTTATTACGGATGAGATCAGAAGTAGTAGCAGGGAAGGAGTCTGTTGCGGTCTGTGGGTCAGTCATGATCCGGCTGTTTGAGAGCGAGAGTGGATGGTCCAGGGTCAAGGACGTAACAACGACGACGTCTCTCGGTTACCACGACGTCGACCAGACGCTTTGTCACAGGTCGGACGAACCTCAGCCTACCTAAACTGGGCCATTCCGAGGCCCTCCTCAAACCGTCCGGCCGTCGGACCGCTGCAACAACTTACCTCGGCCTCTAACAAGTTTTTGTGCTCTTATTCGAGAGGACTCTCTTAACTTGCCAGAAACCTGCTTTAATAAAAATAATTCATGTAAATAATTATAGTAACTTGTATAAGACTAAGTTGGATAATGCGTTTTAAAAAGTCTAATTGTTTTTATTTTTTTAAGTTGAAGTTAAATTTAGTAAACTTTTAATATTAGATTGTTTATGGTCGCGTTCCCTTCTTTATCGCGTCGGACGAAAATAGTTCAATGTGAACTTGACCTACCAAAAGTTCGGATCGTAGCCAATGTAAATGTTCTTTCGAAACAAATTACCGGTAATTCACGGTCGACCTTTCTAAATAACCATAACAATTTTTCCTTTATAATAAATCAAGCTACCTTTTAAG